TGGGGACTGGGGACGTTAAATGCATATGTGAAATGTCCAAGTTAAAGGTCTGTATGGATGCCCTCGGCAGCTCCCATATTGGAGCTCCATGTTAAAGACCTACATGGATGCCCTCGACAGCCCCCATATTGGAGCTCCATGTTAAAGACCCACATGGATACCCTCGGCAGTTCCCATATTGGAGCTCCACGTTAAAGGCCTACATGGATGCCATCGGTAGCTCCAATATTGGAGCTCCATGTTAAAGGCCTACATGGATGCCCTCGGTAGCTCCAATATTGGAGTTCCACGTTAAAGGCCTACATGGATGCCCTCGACAGCTCCCATATTGGAGCTCCATGTTAAAGACCTACATGGATGCCCTCAACAGCCCCCATATTGGAGCTCCATGTTAAAGACCTACATGGATGCCTGCGACAGCCCTGATATTGGAGCTCCACGTTGGCTGTCAATGTTAAACATCCATGTGGGAGGTCCCTTTGAAAAATAATACAATCAGAGTAGGCGAAACAAACGCCGCTGTCGGGGCAAAATGTCCCCTATAGTTCTTATTAGCCTGGTTGGTGCAGAACAGCAGGATGTTAAACTTTTTATTTTGTGCTTAGCATCAATCATCTAACTACTCCACGGTAGAAGTCATTCAGCTGACGGCGCGAAACGTCAACATATCTCGCAATAACCAGACGGTCATAAAACTTTCAACGGAATTACCACCCAGACATAAGAAAATTTAAAATTTCAATTATTAAAATTAGTGATTCACATGCAGCCAAATCACCCATTTTAATATTACGGTGGGGTAGTGCACAACAAAAGATGTTAAGCAATGGCGGACAAGAACGTGACAGCTCTGTCTTCAATTTGTCTATCAATCCATCATGGCGTCTATTTCTGGGGTCGATATGAGAAACAATTTGCTTGATTATCAACGAAATGTAAGTGATGAAGTCACGTTTAGATGGAATTCTAAAACAAAGATGACAGATACAGGACTAGACATCACTATCTTAAATAAACCCTTTATCATTGATCATTTAAATAATTAGAATTAATTCCGATATCAAGGCCACGCCATTTTATATCCACCTTCTGTTTGTTGACAGGCCACGGTGCTCGTCTTCATTAGAGGTGGTTCAGTGAGTAGGTTGAGACGCAGACCGACTAACATTTATTTGCGTCTAACAAACCAAATGTTTTATACATTCTTTTTTAAATTTCCCGCAAACGAAGAATGTTTAACGCAAACCACCAACATTAAAAAAATTTGTTCAATAGGGACCAACTTTAATGTCGCATGATTGACCCAAACATCACGTGGTAACAAAATGGCGACGTCAGTCATTTCTGTACCACGTGATCGTTAGCGAAATAATGATTTGAGGTCCGTATAAAATGATTCGCTCTTTGTTAAAATTCAAAGCAAACCAGACCAACACGAATATTTGTTGGCCGAACAATCTTTTTGAAATTTAACAAGTTTGATCTCGCGAACATGGTTCGGCTAACACATGTTCGTGTTAAAATCGAACGGGCACCTGCTAACTTTAGTCCCAAAACATTGTTTGACCAACAAACAAATGTTAGTCGGTCTGCGATGGGCTTAATCTAAGACGTTGAATGAAAAAGTTCCTCTAGGATTTGCAAGCGTGGTTTCCTCCAGTCAGTTTCTGACTTTTTTAAAGAAATGAGACGGGCCTGTTCTGTTATACATGGAACTGAGTCTAGTCGTCTGGTTGGGAAGAACAACCTTGACGTAAGAGAATTATTGACCAATGTCCGGGAAATGTTTCCCTCTTAGCACGCTGCATGGTGTATGCCCATATTTATTATCTTAGTTTGAGCAGCAAATTATTTCTATTCATGTCAACTCTTTATTGACCTATGCCGAACTACTATGGACTCGTCATATCTGACAGAAATAAATAAAATCACGTCTATAGTCAGTAAAAAGTCAAAATAAACCTGGCAGTGTGAACTTATAAATAGTATATGAACACGTCACAAACAGTTGAAATATGGACTCAATGATTTCTTTGCGAAGTTGCAAATCTTTCAATCTCAAAATTTCCAACGGGCGCTTTTGGAAAGAAAATCCCGAGATTTTGTCAATCTCAAAATTTCCACCGGGAGCTTTTGGAACGGAAATGAAATGAAATCCAGAGGTTCTGCTCTGACTAGGCTAATGAAGACAGACATACGCCATACAATGTGTTATGAGTGACATTTGCCCTGGACAGCGGCGCTACGGCCTATCCAATTCCAACTGCCAAGGGATCTTTACGTGCACGCCAATGTGTACACAGGACCCCGACTTTTTGTCCCATCAGAACGATAAGACAGCTGCCCTTATCAGACCCTCCGTGGTGCACCTCGGCCAACAAAGGGAGCGAACCCATGACCCCCAGACTAGCGAGCAAACGTCTTACTCATTTAGCCACCTTGGGAACGAATGTTCTAACGTGTTTAACATCTATTTTAGAAAACGTTCAAAAAAGTGAAAAGTGGATACAGATGAGGAATTTGTTTATAAACAAATGTTTTAACAAGAGTTATCACCAGGTGTGGTATATGTGTGTATATCTACCAGTTTACGTGTGATATATAATATGTATATCTATCACTTGATTCCGTGTATGTACATACTAAACACTGCACGTGTTGTCTATTGTGTCTCAAAATACTCTTTTCTAAATTTATTGCTGCATATTTGCCGGATATTTTACAGGTAGAAGGGGTATACGTGACGTGTCAAACCTGAAGAACACCCAGAACGAGGGAGAATAAGTTACACTTTAAAGTACGCAATAGAAAATAATCAGTTTTAGCTTAATAAATCGAAGGGAATCAGGCGGCAATTTATACTTAGAATCAAAATTAGGCCCAATAATTCGACCAATGATCCGTTGATAGCTGTTCACACAACACATGATACACCGGGGCCAGGGCGCTTTCAAAGACTGTAATGGTTTCAAGTAAAGTAGATAGCTGTTGAATTTACTTGCGTTTTTTTCTCGGGTGAAGATAGAAGTTTCCCATGATTTAATGTTTATGTTATAATTCTACCGTTTTATTAGAATCTGTTAAAGGATGTTGTCCAGGGAGCAGGGAATCAAGTTACGTGATGGTGTAACAGGGCTGTGTGATGTTCTGTGTAGATGAGCCCATATCGGGCATCACTATTTAGTTTGGTTTGTAGTTTTTAAATATATCTTTGGATTATTTGGAATGGTACAGCGTCCCTCGTAGTTTCCAGGCCGCCTGGGATCGTGGATTTAACAATTAAGATCAACTACTGGATTATTATTTATAGCTATCTATATAATTCATTAGTTTTAGATATGTTTTTGTTTATCCCGGGTTACAAAGGAGAGGGCTGAAAATTACACACTGTGTATAGGTACAGTTTTAAAATAAAACTGTAATGTATGGCTCACGTGTTGATCGGTTTGCGGCGATATGCCTATTTCATTGTTCTTCTGGGGGGGGGGGGATGCTGAATGGTTAGCGTGCGCGCGCTGTATCATAAAGTCTGTCATTGAGTCGACTGGCGTGGTTTCGAATCCCCGGTTTTGCGTGACAAGGAGTAGGGTCGCCTGTCCAACCTCGTGGGTTTTCTCCGGGTCCTCCGGTTTCCTCCCACTGCTAAAAACCCCTACGCGCAAGCGAGTTGTTGAAATAAAATCAAACCATATGTTAGTCCCGAAATGACCTGGTTTGTGTCGAGTGGACGTTAAACCCCATTTCTCTCTCTCTCCCTTGTTCTTCTCAAATAAAAAAAACCCCGCGCTATGGCTAAAATATATATACCATTTAGTTGTGAAATTATCCGGTTTATGCCAAGTGAAATGTACACTTCTTCCTCGTACAAGGGTCAACTCGTGTAAGATCATAGAAATTAGACAACCCACGGCCATAAAATTAAAATGGAACGCCGTTATTAATATTATCATTCACGCTAATATGAGAAGTTAGACAGCAAACAATTCAGTCGAGCAGCACTATAATCGCCATTAATCACTGGCTCTATGGTCCAAGTCAAGCTCGTCTTTTGAACGAAATCAAATAAAATGTGTTTTAACGTTATACTTGTCTGCACCGAATATGGCTATGATAGAGGCTATGTCCTATCAATGTCGTTCCGCCCAGTTAAGATACTGTCAATGGTATGAAGTAAACACAGCTTTTTGTACTTCCCGACGAAGAACCAAGTGCTTATCATTGCCAGAAAAATCCACGGAAACTTTATATCAGGCTACACCGGGATTGAACGTGTTTAGTGAGCTTCTATAGGCGGGAGCCACGGTGGCTAAGTGAGTAAGACGCTGGCTCGCTAGTCTGGAAGTCGCGGGTTCGCTCCCGATGTTCACTTAGAAAGTTCATCGGGATTTTCCAGTGTGGTTTCCCTTTTTCAGTGGTGCAGGACGGGGGAGGGGAGCTGTCTAGTCGTTCAGATATATGGTAAAAGATCCCTCACCGTTGGCATTCGATATACTAGTATATCGTAGCGAAGGTGTCCGTCTTTATTAGCCAAGTCGGAGCAGAACAGTAAGACGTTAAACCCCATTTCATCATTTATTTTACCATATAGCAGCGTGAGGACACAGATAACTGCATGCCATAACCAAAGACTATCATGGGATGGACATTATGATATAATGTGCGACATACCCAAGTTCCATAGTTCAATACCTAATGCAATGTTGCCCCGCCCCCCAATTCAGGGGCGTGTCCAGGAATTTGAGAAGATAGTTGTCCTGGGGTTGAGACAAAGCCATGTTGGAGCGAGGTCTGGGGGTATTACCCGAGAAGCTCTGGGATAATATGTCTGCTCATTTAGGTGGCTACATGATAGATTGGAATGAGACCAGCAGACGTTACTTTGATAAATGTAAAAGAAATAAAATAATCCTTTGCACAAGCAGGACAGGTTCCGGGCCCCTATGGTCACGCGCCTGCAAACCCTTCACCTCTGACCGGAAGTCAGTGATACAAAATAGGAATACTATAATAATACTTTATTATCATTCATATATATTTATATACAATCTACTAATCGTGACCTTCACCTTCTCTTCACTAAGATACGTTATTTACCCGTGGTATCCTATCCACTCAGACCGAAAGTACTACACCAAATTATTCACACTGATCCGCAATGAATATTCGCTAGGCCGCGACAATCACTGATAAGGATGACATCGATGCGACTTAATGAGCCACAAATATTAACTTTTTTCCTCCAACAAATTAAATTTTAAAACATCTTTTTATGTATTAGAAAAATAAATAAAGAAGTTTGAATTATTTGTAGGTAAAAATTATTTCCTATTTTAGTCTAAATGGGTATTAAAATGAGTAAAAGGCGCCATTCTGCTCGAATCAATAACAATGCACGCGCCATTGAGCCAATGATTGACGCCGCGTGATATGACGTCATGTGTTGAAGGCAGTCATCTTTTACAGAGATATTATTATCACCTAGTAATACGATAATCTTTCCACGGGTAACTAACGTAGTAGTGTAACTAGGGTAAGACCAATACATACTTTATATACAACCATAGATTATTTATATATATACATTATATTACAACATATCTACATCAATACGCCAGCTCTTAATCATTTAATCCAAATCCCTCAAACTTACTTTTCTCAAATCAAAACTAAATGAATAGTTTTTAACTATTTAGTGCGTCAATTTACAGACCGGTGAGGGAGTTTAGAAATTGCGTGTTTAAATTTGTTAATGGCTACCCTGTCGGCCTATAAACTGCATCAATATTTTCCCAAATACATATTACATCACAATTTACAACAATGTTTTTAAAGGAGCGTTATGTAAGATTTAGATAAAGAACATCTTCCCCTAAAACAATATTTAAATTATTTGAAACTTTGAAGCAGAAACGATTTAATATCAATTTGGCCCCAGTCGGGACTCCCATTTCATTTGATTACATTTGATGGCCGCGTTCTTAGTAGAACACATGTCTTTATTCAGGACTTCTGCCGCATTTTCAATTTTGAAAGTGCAAAAACTACGGACATAGATGTTGTAGCACGTTATATGATTCCATCGACTATATGACATAGATCCTGTAGCATGTAACATGATTCCATGGACTATATGACCTAGATCTTGTAGCACGTTACATGATTCCATGGACTATATGACATTGATCTTGTAGCACGTTACACCATTCCATCGACTATATGACTTTGATCTTGTAGCACGTTATACCATTCCATCGACTATATGACATTGATCTTGTAGCACGTTCCACCATTCCATCGACTATATGACATTGATCTTGTAGCACGTTACACCATTCCATCGACTATATGACATAGATCTTGTAGCACGTTACACCATTCCATCGATAGATCTTGTAGCATGTAACACCATTCTATCGACATATAAACTAAATACTATCCAGGAAACAATATCACTGGGAAAGACAACTTGTTGGGTAGTGTATTTAATTTATTACAAGTTCTAACAAACAGTGAATGCTGGCTTCCCTTGGGGATAACAAATCATCCATGTTTCACAAATCATCCATGTTTCACAGTTCGAGACATTACAATTCATGTCATATCTTTGATTAGCCAAGATCGTGAAGTCGTGCTTTGACATATTCTGGCCGGGAGTCAACAACATACCATATATTATAGACACATTCTTGTCGAAGGTCGCCACACTACCATATAGCATAGATATATTCTGGCCTCGAGTCGACACCAAACCACATCGTCTACATCTAACCATATAGTTTAGACACATTCTGGTCGGGAGTCTACATCTAACCATATAGTTTAGACACATTCTGGCCGGGAGTCTACATCATACCCTATAATCTAGACACATTCTGGTCGGGGGTCGAAACCATACCATAGAATGTAGACAATGCTCAGGGGTCGACAGCACGCAATATTATTTTGAAGCATTATGACTGACGCATCACCGTCGAGAGTAATACAATACCATATAATTTAGACACATTCTGGTCGAGAGTCGTCACCATACCATATAGTGGGCACCATAACATATAGTGGACGCCATACCATATAGTGGGCGCCATACCATATGGCTTAGACACATTCCGGTCGATACCATACCATATAGTGGTCACAATACCATATAGTGGTCACCCTACCTGACCCTATCATATAACTTAGACATATTCCGGTCGGGAGTCGATACCATATAGTGGATACCATACCATATAGTGGGCATCATACCATATAGCTTAGACACATTCCGTTCGGGAGTCGACACCATACCATATCGTGGGCACCATACCATATAGCTTTGACACATTCCTTTCGGGAGTCGACACCATACCATATAGTGGGCACCATGTCATATAGCTTAGACACATTCCGGTCGGGAGTCGACATCATACCATATAGTGGGCACCATACCATATAGCTTAGACACATTCCGATCGGGAGTCGATACCATACCATATAGTGGGCACCATGTCATATAGCTTAGACACATTCCGGTCGGGAGTCGACATCATACCATATAGTGGGCACCATACCATATAGCTTAGACACATTCCGATCGGGAGTCGATACCATATAGTTGGCATCATACCATATAGTGGGCACCATACCATATAGCTTAGACACATTCCGGTCGGGAGTCGATACCATACCATATAGTTGTCACCATACCATATAGTGGTCACCCTACCATATAACTTTGACACATTCCGGTCGGGAGTCGATACCATACCATATAGTGGGCACCGTACCATATCGTGGGCATCATACCATATAGTGGTCACCCTACCATATAACTTAGACACATTCCGGTCGGGAGTCGATACCATACCATACAGTGGGCACCATACCATATAACTTAGACACATTCCGGTCCGGAACCATTAGGGGTCATATTAATTTTCTGTTGGTATCTCGAATGTAGCTCACTGTATTAACGGGTGACTATCGACGGCTTCAAGGGTTCTTAGAGTCGGAGGGAGGGTCTCGTGAATAGATTGATAATAAAATACATTAGAGACGTGGCGATCTAGACTATACTGTGCAATCATGACTAGTTAATACAATCTACAGTAATATATACATTGTTCACATGCTAATATATAAACAAACATATACAAATACACACGTTATAAATAAATATTATTTATATTTATAGATGACGAATTCAGTAATTCAGCACTTTGTAGTTCAGGAGTTATCACACCCTGTGGAGAATCCTGTTACATCTCGAATAATACGAACCATTGTCCCCTTTACATGTGTTCACTTCATCGTTATGTGATGTTTACGTCATTATTATTCAATGACGTTAGACTGTCGTTACGTCGTACTATAATGCACTGACGCAGTAGACATGTGATGTTTACGTCATTATTATTAGCCAATCGTTACGTCGTATCATAATGCACTGACGCAGTAGACATGTGATGTTTACGTCATTATCATTCGATGACAATAGCCAAACGTTACGTCGTATTATAATGCACTGACGCAGTAGAAATTATTATTCGAGGACATGTAGCTAATCGCAGTGTCGTACTATAATGTAGAAACAGTGCCCTCAGATGGGTGATTTGATGGACGATGGAAGAAAATGAATGGACAATATTTACATTCACATCCATAATGTGAGCCCATTTTAGATAGTGGGGGACGAAACGGTGGGATTGTCAATAACAGTCGACGTTGCTGAACCAGATTCTGATCGTTTAAGACAATATCACGGCTAACTCCACCCTAAAATGGACTCACATAAATTATTTAAAATTAAATGTCAAGGGCAGATAATCTCCGGGTCCACAAAACGATTTAACCCAGCAGTTATAGGTGGCGCTGGATTTTTCGTATCGTCTACAGAGAATAACAAATGTAGCGACATCTTCACTTCATCACGTGTAAATATCGGACTGTTCTTCCTGGTAGAGATTCTACACCCATGAACCTAATTCAACCTGTATTGACTGAGAGGCAAAAGTAACGCCTCAAAATTAATGACTTTACTTAGTAAAGTTATTAAATAAATAAATAGGTCACAGTAAACCATGTATTTAATCGCTTGACACCAATCTCCTTTTAAGGTAATTCTAATTGTAAATATTTTGTATCAGTTTAATTAACACTGTGTATTATTGCTTTGGAGTTGTCGTTTACGAAACTATTTATGCGCGTCGCTCCTAACATGTTGGAATTCCATTATACTGCAAGGCCATATGGTTTCCTTTGATAAGCTGTATTATAGTTATTTTCATTGTGCTTATTAACCCCAACGGTCAACCTTTCTTTACCGGTCATCTACATTTTAAAGTCAGAATACATTAATAGTCCATGTTATAATACCAATTGGGTACTTCCGGTCCATCACAGACGCCACGTGTAACCAATATCACATGTAATAAAATAGGCGCGTTTGTTTCCGGTATGGAGCACGTGGGTGGATTTTCCACTAGCGCTATGAAAATCGGGTGGTCCATTATGAAAATGTTTACACGTGCGTGCTTTGTTTACACGTGTGTGTTACACGTTGATGCTTCTGTTTTATTGCCATTAGGAGAACTTTTCACCAACTTCATTTTCAGGAATCCATGTTTGTTTTGCGCACAGCACGTACAAAACACGTCCATGAAAGTATCTCTAAATTGTTTGCTCATCGTACAATATAAAACAAAATTAATGGAGTTGTTTATGAGCGCCATTATATCAACCAGGTCACCCAGGGGATTATAAACATAATCTTGAAGACATGGTTCAAACAATGTCATCAGAGTCAGAATTCCCTGGGGAAGTTCGGTCAACATGAATAGAACCACGACAGCTAACAGCATACCAGTAGTACGATTGTGTTCGCCATGTTTTTCCGATTCTGCTTTACGGCCTTGCGACTTCAACCTCATACGTTTACGATAAGCTTTATGCATGGCGTGGATAAGGAGAATGGTAAGCGTGGTCAGCATAGCACATGGAATTAACTTGACGAGAATGGACTGGATATAACCATTTGACATGGAGATGAATCGAGCTGCCGGGGTCCCGTCTCTTATATCCGGATGATAATAGATGTCAGACACCACTGTGGGACTTGTCACATTAGTCAATCCATGATAGTCTTCGCCATTAATTTTAATCTGATCAGCAATCAGGTCTCCGGATGAGATTTTGTTAACGATATAATTAGGAATACAGATGATAATAGTCAATAAATAAACCAAGAATATAGTAATTCTGGCTCGTCGGATGTTACAATAAATAGCGCCTTTAGTTGGCATACAGATATAGATATACCGGAATATAGCCAAGGCAATGGTCAACCAGATGGCCACCGTGTGACACACGATTCCAAAACTAGCGTGAAACATTAAAAAACAAATCCAGGCGAAGTCGCGCGTTCGAAACATGGGTAAGTCTTTTTCTCTAAATATGTAAAACCTCATGATGAAAGGTAAATAAGACATCATAGTGAAGAGATCAGCCACAGCCAGCCACATTAAAATAGTATTAGTTGACGATATCATATTTTTACGAGTCAGGACGATGATGTTGGCAATGTTCGCCATTACTCCAAACGTACAAACAACCGCACTGATATACCCATGAATAACGGCGTATTCGGTTGAGAAATGGACCAACCGCTCGGCAGTAGCTTGACTCAGCACTCCGGGAATATATCCTAGATCACAGGCACTTACATCCGGTGGCGCTAGTGTTGTGGATAAGTTAAACATGGCGTCCATGGTTGTCATAAGGCCGTCGTCTGTCGTATTGTGGGAGCTTATTGTTGTTACGTCTGCCATGTTGGTCGGTTTGTTTAATCAGGCTCACATCCAAATGATAAAAGTAAAAACGCCAATTAAATCTGAAAAGAAACAAAAGAGAATAATAACTATTATTATTTCAAACCTGATACACCTAGAAAATGAAATAGGGTTTAACGTCCTATCTCTCTGGACCAATTTATCCTGGGATGTAAATAAGGTTAGGGCACGTGATTGTTGGCGAAATTATAGTTTAGTGTTAGGGTAAGCATTAGGGCTAGGCCCAGGGTTAAGGATAGGGTTCGGATTAGCGCTAGCCATGTTTACATCTGGTGACCTTTGCCCAAACTTGAAATTGGCCTAGATCTAACCTATGTAGTAGGCTGTTTCGGAAGAGCGACGTCTCCCCATCGAAGTACCACTGTTAATGGATATTTTACGTGCACGCCATGTAGCAAACCAATATAAGGTATTATATCCTGTAACGATAGGTGGATGAGGACGTAAAACCCGAGTCCCTCCTGCGGGTACCTCCTTCTTTAGCACAAAAGCATACATCTCGATATCCTATCGACTGACGGGGGGGGGGGGGGGTCCGAATGGTTAGCAAGCGCGCGCTGTATCATAAGGCCTGTCATTGAGTCAACTGGCGTGGTTTCGAATCCCGGGTTGTACGTGACAAGGAGTAGGGTTGCCTGTCCAGCCTCGTGGGTTTTCTTCGGGTCCTCCGGTTTCCTCCTACTGCTAAAGACCCCTACGCGCAAGCAAATTATTGAAGTAAAATTAAACCATATGTCGAATGGACGTTAAACCCCATTTCTCTCTCTCTCCTATCGACAGGGCAGCATTAAGGTTGGTTGAGTTACATCCTTACATTCAAAAAGTTCGTCTATCCTACTGTTTGCGTCCAACAGTTCCGTGTATGGTCTACATTTAAAGCTGGGAGATTTGTATTGTTTGTTAAATTTAAAAATAGTTAAGTTCCTGTAAACGGTTTTGTTCTGTTGGTGTCTATTGTGTAAGTCATATCGAACTCAAGTCACATAATACACGATACAAGCAGACATTGTGTGCTTAAAGCCAAGAAGAAACTGTGCGAATTATATTCATTTGAAGTTCATCACCGAAGTTACTCGCCCAACGCAGTTGAAGCACACGATGAATACCTGTGTCGATTGCTCTGCGATTATGGCGCCTGCTGTGTTTTTGGCTACAATATAGACGGCGATGAATATTCAAACGATAAATATCAAACATATTTAATATAAGTGGAAGGGTTCGACCGAATGATTAGCCGTTAATATACCATAAATAAATAAGTTGACAAATAACGAGTAAATAAAATGAGATGAAATGAAATGGGGTTTAACGTTCTACTGTTCTGCTCCTACTGGGCTAATGAAGACAGACATACGCCATACAGTGTGCTATGAGGGACACTTTGCCTGGCAGCGGCACTGCGGCCTACTCTTATATCGAATTCCAACTGCCAAGGGATCTTCTACGTGCGCGCCAATGTATAGACGGGTCTTCGGTTTTCCGTCTCATCCGAACGACAAGATAGCTGTTCTTGTCAGGCCCTCTGTTCTGCACCACTGACAAGCAGGGATTAAACACGCGATCTCCAGGCTCGCGTCTTACCCACTTAGCCACCGTGGCTCCCTTTCTGTCAATAAGAAGTATATATAGGTATTGCTGAGGTTTTGAATTAAACGTACAATAAGCTGTATGTAGGTTTTAATGAGGTTGTGAATTAAACGTGCAATAAGCTGTATATAGGTTTTAATGAGGTTGTGGCTATAAACTATCACATGTATCACAATTAATGCCATTGGTCAAGTAATCGGAGATTTATTAATTGTTTATATAAAGCTCAAGACGGTCACGTATCAGTTTATTAATGAAACCTATATCCCCCTCCAGCCCTTCAGTAATAATACAAGTTTAAGTGCAGTCAATTAACAAATCAGCTGTATCATTTAATTATCATTACAACGAATCGGTTTCTGGTAACTGTCAGACATAATTACATGACGTATATACTAGATGACAAACACGGGATTTACCAATACACTACCTAGTATAGTACAGGTCAGTGTCTGGACAATCCTGGCAGGAAAGGTTCCGTGAACGGAACGGTTAACTTTTCTGTAGTGTAAACAGGTCAAACATAACCTGGTGTCCCCTGTGTAAGGAGAGGAACTTTATAACCTTGAGCTTGTTTTCTAATCCATTACACCAGGGGCCTGTTTCACGAACTTTTAACTAAGATAAAATCCAGATTTTAATAATTTGATTGGATAATATTAGATTTATTTTAGTGCTTAGCCAATCAAAATTGAAGTATCTACTAAAATTTGGATTTTATCTTTAGTTAAAATTTCGTGAAACAGGGCCCCCTTGTTGTAAATACTCTTGTTTAAACCAAACATAACCGTGCCGTACTGAGAACCACGGACCCCTGACGTTAGGTGGTTACGGTACCGTTCTTAGTATAAACGCTATCCCGTCTCAGTGCGGATTTCTGCTATACAGTACGCATTAAGTTTGACCGTTTTCTGTGAAGAGTGCCACATTTACCGTGCCAGGCACGGTTCCGAGATCGTTTATTGTATAGCAATTTAGACGGTGCAATTTCTTGAATTTTATCGAGACCTGCAACAATCCGAGTACGTTACACTTATTGCGACCGAATGTAAAGGTAGACAATGTTTCAATATACTGAACTGAAGAATTAAGTTTCTGGAAATTAGTGAAATGTTTTTTACGTAATAATTTATGTAAACACCACATTTACAGGTAACAGATCTACTTTTACAGGTAACAGATCTGCTTTACTTCTTCAAAATGTCATAGGAGTAGGGTCGCCTGTTCGACCTCGTGGGTTTTCTCCGGGTCCTCCGGTTTCCTCCCACTGCTAAAAACCCCTACGCGCAACCGAATTATTGAAATAAAATTGTACCATATGTAAGTCATGAAATGACCTGGGTTGTGTCGAGTGGACGTTAAACCCCCATCTCTCTCTCTCTCTCTCTCTCTCTCTCTCTCTCTCTCTAACATTCTAACATTTTTTCCAGAAGTCTGACTTATGCATCACTGATAGAAAATTGTTCAAATTCACATTGATAAAGGATTAAAGTGGCAATCAAACTGCAAAAATACCCTTTCATCAGACCCAAATGCAACGAGAAACACCATTTTGTGTCCACATCTTTCAGCAATAAATAATTAAATTTTAACGTTTAATTTATTGAAAAAAACAACAAAAAAACCCAGCTGTAGACACAGTTTAAATATTTAGGAGAAATTTCAGTTTAAAGCTAGTAAGTCAGATTCTCTACAAGTCAGCGGAAAGTCACTTTAAGTCTGGTAGTCATTTGGTTAAATTGTAGAGGTGTTACATCTTAATCAAGTTAGGACAAAAACTTGCGATTCCGTCACTTCTACACAAGATGAAATACATCAAATTGGTCGTAAAAACATACGACAGAAATGAAAAATTTGTACTTTCTAGGAATCGGTCATTACCCCGTTTCCGCTACAAGCTACAAACATCATCAATAACAATCATCCAGAATAAATGATAAATTAGATAGTCTTTTTATGTCCTTGTCGTAAAACAAAATACGTGAGTCCACTAGATCTTTGTGGGTGTTACACGCAATACTCGGTTTCACTACAGATGTTTTCAAGCTGAAATACAAAATACGTAGCCCGAGGAGAAACTTGAGGAAGTCATCTCGGCTTGGTGTCCCTGTGAAACTTCGTACCAGATATACACCAATTCCTCTTCCGAATTTATGACGTTTCTACAACCGATGCGTGAATTTTGATAATTGGGTGAATCTATGGTTGGAATAATACAACATTATCTAAATGATCACAAAAAGACAGTATATTACTCTTGTTTTAATAGATGAGGGCGAGCTCCCCCTCGACCCACGCTCCTCACAGATGGGGGCGAGCTCCCCCTCGACCCACCCTCCTAACAGAATCAGCTTAACATGATTACAATACAACTAAACCTAAATGTATCTATTAACATTCTCTAGAACCATTGACACAGAATATACTTTAAACATCTAAAACATTTAACATTCTCTAAAACCATTGACACAGAATATACTTTAAACATCGACAAACCGACTAAAAATCACAAAATAAAATCTTATTGAATAAACGAGACACTTTACGCTCTCTATTAATTAAACATTCGAATGTCAAAACACTGCCTTGGTGAATATCTTAATCTAAATAAACATCAAACCTTACAAAACATTAAAGCGACATTAGGTCAGATTTAGATAAAGAGTTGACAGTTCTCAATATAATAGTTAACAAATAGATAATGAAAAGAGAATATGCTGAAACTTTCAGTCAAATTACTTCACTCTGTGTCGAGATATTAGTGATAGAATTATTGGATAGCCTTAAACGTTATTACTACCGTTGTTACGATAAAAACAAAGTTTCTATTATCCATTTTTATGATAAGCGCATCCACCAGAAAAGTATTTGTATCCAGTAAATATCGCAGGTATCCGATGGCATCGAGAGTTGATTATGGTCTTGGTAAGTTAATTAATGTCTAATTAATAATTTAGATACCTGTAATAGATAGATTTAGCTCTTGCATAATGTATGTTTAACTGGCGAACACTAGAAAACAAAATCTATAGTATTCGAACCCAATAAAATAAACGACACATTTAATGAAATATTAATTACATGTAAAAACCAATATATAAATATCATAATAACTAAATCACGGCAATATTTAAAGAAACATTATGGGAGATTAGCTATAATAGTTAAAAACTAGATAATGTAATGGGAATTTGCTGAAAATTTCAGTCAAATTGATCCACTCTGAACCGAGAATTTAACGATTGAATTTTGGGCCTAGCCTCGATTATCATTAATAAAGTCGGTACGATAACAAAAACATAGTCTCGATTATCCATTTCTTGATTTAATCACGAATGAGCGTTGAGCAGCAGATCGGATCCTAATCCAGTAAATATCGCAGGCTAGCGTTGACATCTAGAGTTGATTATGGTCTGGATAAGTTAATTAATGTCTAATTAATAACTTAGATAAC